ATATATATATATATATATAGTAAACTCATGCTACCCAGGTTGAAGACAACACCTACTTTTGTTTCCAATAAATTAGTGAGGCAAACCACCTGTGTACTTCCTCTTGTATCAGGTGCCATCTACCCCAGAAGTACAAAAAGCAGTGCATGAGTAGGGCTCAAGCCTCGTGCCTCCTAAGAGCATTCTTAAGAGGATCGAAAGTTCGGTAGGTAATGAGAGTTAGTGCCCATCGCGAGGAGCAATGTACATGTAGCTCGCAGTACCCTCTTCAGTAAAAAGACCATGGTCACAGCTGAGACCATCCCATCCAGTTTCGTGCGGCTTGGATAAGACTCGCTAGCCCCAGAATTACCTTCTATGGTATACGCATGACTCAAAAAAGGATGACAGTAATATCTCACGAACTAGGTTTCGTAAAATTTTGATTTCGCGCACTTATATGACTGGACGTACGACAACCGAACATTTTCTCAGGGCGGTCAATGATTTACTACCACCCCCAGAATGACTTCATCCGACCCTCGTGTGATTCTGAAGTTACACTATGAGCAATACACCATATGCTCCTACGTAACATACTCGCCAAAACTTCCGTTCGCCACACAGCGTAAAAGGAGTAAAGGAAGATGGGCCAAAGTTGGGGAGTACACAGACACCTACCATCCTTTCGAGGCTACAGTCGTGTTTTACTCACATGTTTTTGGTAGGATTTCAGAGTTTCAAAATGAAGGCTCACCGAAAGCTCACAGTTCACCATATAGCGATAATGCGGACACCACTCTCTAGTGATACCCTGTAGAGGTACCCTGAGAAGCATCCCTGGTCATGTCCTTGGATGTTCCTTCAACGGTTAGGTTCATCCTTGAAAGAAATGTACCCTAGAGGAGAGCTAGTATTAATCAGTCTGGTCTTATCCACAAAGTGGGATAGCAACACTTTACAAGTTTGTTCAACAGCGGGGATGAAGATCCACTGGAAAGTTTGGTCACTTGACCAAACAAGTCTTTATGTGAACGAACGAATATTATTCTTCATGAAGTAAACTACAGACAAGGTTGCTGAAAACTCGGCCTGTATGCAGCACATTCAGTTGTCAAATACCACAAACCAGAGATTCAGTCGAGTCCCTCGTGAAAAACCAAATTGATTTGCAAATGAGTGCATTTCTCGAATAATATTCCTGTTTAATTATGAAGTACATGAATATGTATGAATGTATGAATATATATATATATATATATATATGGATATAAATGAATAGATTCCACGGTCTGCTATTCACTTCTCCGCCCACAACCATGTGCTAACATTCTTCTTCTAAGCATAAAACTTTCGTCATCACTTTGCCTTTACATAAACGCTTTTGAATATTCGAATTCAGATTTTCTGACTCGCCGGGACAGATTTCCTTCTCGTTATTGTCTCACTTTTATTGCAAGCGTTATCCTGGCTATATGTGCCTAGGTTGGTGAACAAGGAGGAACATGTGGAAACTGAACAGTATCGTATGTGCTGGCGTAATTAAGTGCGTAACTTATATCAGAGTTAACAGAGTTAAACCGGCCAGTCGGAGATTCTGACACGCTCCGGAATGATAGTATTCCGCTTTCTCAGGGGGTTTTCATTGTAGTTCGTCAATTAGAGTATAAGCATCAAAGCAGATTCAGTAATATCTGATATTTGGAAAAATATACATCTTCTGTGTGGATAAATTTGCAAGCTACTGTTTCGACGACCCAGGTTCGAACCCAGAAAGGGCGCTTTCAAAGTGTCTACTGGCTCTCGTCCAAATAATCTGCACGCATTTCCCAAAAGCACAGACGCAAACAGGGTCTTCTTCCCGGTTTCGACATACGGGTTCCAGTGAAGACCGAATGAGAAAATAAGCTTATTCGCAGTGATATCGAGGCTGTTCGTATAAACAAACCTTACAGTGTCATACCCAAATAAAGCATTAAGAATTAGTTTATTGATCCCGGAAACATCATTTGATGTCATCATCACTGACGGTAATACCAGGAAAGAACATTGGTGCTCTACGGAAGTACATCCCTGTCAATTTATCTGCATAAAGTCATATAATGGAAAGAGGAAAAGTTGGGCAGGGAATGGAGCCTACAACAAGCATACGAGGTGCCCACACTCTCAACACTCATCCAAACAACCTGGATAGAAAGCGGAACCAGATAGGCCATTGACCTCGTTTGGCCGCAAAATGGTTAATTGTTTCCAGCCCAGCACAGGGAGGGTCACATGGAACCAATCTTGAAAGCAACAACATCACCCAACCTTTATTCCTTTATTCACTCCTACCTTGTCAAATTCTGTCCATCTCCATTTCTCATCCGCTCGGTTAAAGATCGGCACGGAAAAACTGTTGTCGACAGGAGGTAACTAGCCGTGCGTAACACATGGCCCAACCACCTTAGCTTACAGTGTTGACTGCAGTCTTTGAGAGAAGTACTGTCTGCTTCACCCAAAGTCCGAATTATTTGGTGGCAATATATCTATATAATAAGAGCTCGTGTGGGTTTGTTGGCTATTGACCAGATGGCAGCTGGTCTTTTTGCCAAGCATGATAATTGGCTTCCTAGCGTTTCGTCGCCATGCGAGTAAATCTGCTATTCACTTCTCCGCCCACAACCATGTGCTAACATTCTTCTTCTAAGCATAAAACTTTCGTCATCACTTTGCCTTTACATAAACGCTTTTGAATATTCGAATTCAGATTTTCTGACTCGCCGGGACAGATTTCCTTCTCGTTATTGTCTCACTTTTATTGCAAGCGTTATCCTGGCTATATGTGCCTAGGTTGGTGAACAAGGAGGAACATGTGGAAACTGAACAGTATCGTATGTGCTGGCGTAATTAAGTGCGTAACTTATATCAGAGTTAACAGAGTTAAACCGGCCAGTCGGAGATTCTGACACGCTCCGGAATGATAGTATTCCGCTTTCTCAGGGGGTTTTCATTGTAGTTCGTCAATTAGAGTATAAGCATCAAAGCAGATTCAGTAATATCTGATATTTGGAAAAATATACATCTTCTGTGTGGATAAATTTGCAAGCTACTGTTTCGACGACCCAGGTTCGAACCCAGAAAGGGCGCTTTCAAAGTGTCTACTGGCTCTCGTCCAAATAATCTGCACGCATTTCCCAAAAGCACAGACGCAAACAGGGTCTTCTTCCCGGTTTCGACATACGGGTTCCAGTGAAGACCGAATGAGAAAATAAGCTTATTCGCAGTGATATCGAGGCTGTTCGTATAAACAAACCTTACAGTGTCATACCCAAATAAAGCATTAAGAATTAGTTTATTGATCCCGGAAACATCATTTGATGTCATCATCACTGACGGTAATACCAGGAAAGAACATTGGTGCTCTACGGAAGTACATCCCTGTCAATTTATCTGCATAAAGTCATATAATGGAAAGAGGAAAAGTTGGGCAGGGAATGGAGCCTACAACAAGCATACGAGGTGCCCACACTCTCAACACTCATCCAAACAACCTGGATAGAAAGCGGAACCAGATAGGCCATTGACCTCGTTTGGCCGCAAAATGGTTAATTGTTTCCAGCCCAGCACAGGGAGGGTCACATGGAACCAATCTTGAAAGCAACAACATCACCCAACCTTTATTCCTTTATTCACTCCTACCTTGTCAAATTCTGTCCATCTCCATTTCTCATCCGCTCGGTTAAAGATCGGCACGGAAAAACTGTTGTCGACAGGAGGTAACTAGCCGTGCGTAACACATGGCCCAACCACCTTAGCTTACAGTGTTGACTGCAGTCTTTGAGAGAAGTACTGTCTGCTTCACCCAAAGTCCGAATTATTTGGTGGCAATATATCTATATAATAAGAGCTCGTGTGGGTTTGTTGGCTATTGACCAGATGGCAGCTGGTCTTTTTGCCAAGCATGATAATTGGCTTCCTAGCGTTTCGTCGCCATGCGAGTAAACGTCCTCCTCAACTTCTGCTTACCTGTATATAGCCTCTAAATATTAGGTAATAACTGCCGCGTTACTGTAAGTTTGAAGCTTTTCCAAGACAAGCTAACATACTCTTGAAGTCAGGAAACACCAAGATTATAGGGCGACTATAAGCTTGTCGTTCCTCCAACACTTGGCAGAGTCTGAAGGTTCGGTCCACATAGCAGCGTCCAGACTGGGATTCCGCTTGCTCTTCTAGGGTCCCATCTTCACACGACTTCGTGAGTATAAACGTCACACTGGTTACAGCCCTATTGAATTATCCCAGTTGGTTTGGATGGAGTCAGAGAAGCACCGACTGAAGAGTGCAGACGTTTTCCAGGACAGGCGACCCGGAGGCATTTGGGGACAAAAAGTATTCCCTTATTTCCGAAGCCATGAGGACTCCATTGCGGGTTGGAGGTGCGGCTGAGCAACTGCAGATAGCCGGTTGAGTTGTTATTTAACATGGTAATCCCAAAGATTCAGGCGATCTTTTTCACAGAAAACTAAGATATTGTTTTCATTGTTTCAGCTGAAACAGTTTAGGCGTATTCTGCGTTTTTCACCGGTTTCAGCTCTTCAGGTTCCTGAATACCTCAGACTTCACCATCCGCGCAAATTCTCTTATTAACTTGAAATATGGCTGCACCCGGGCGTATTTTGCTCTTTACCAGGAGGAATACGTGTCTGAGCTATGACCAATTTTGGAGTGTTCCTCGAGCTTCATTGCCTAGATCTAGTTGGTTTAGACACAATACCCAGCATCTCAGCGTTGGAGACAGTGCCTTCCACTAAGAGTGAAATCCGAAAACGTGTTGCCGGAAACGGACTTCAACAGGTGGTTCTGGTAGACTTTTTCACAATATGTTCCGAGAAGTTCCCAATAGCCAGGCGAAGTGTATTCACCTTGTGCGCCCTGAAAGGCACAGTGAGAAGCAGCAAAGGACGAGTACTTGATCCGAAGTGTTTCGAAGTCACACAAACGTTTCAGAACGAGTGACAATCAGTAACTGATATTTCCAGGTTGGTTTGCATGCGGGAGGTACCACGTAATCGAGAAGCGTCGGTTGTTTCGGAAGTTAGTACTGCATAGAAGCAGTCTTAGTCAGCAAGCAAAGGACGAGTACTTGATCCGAAGTGTTTCGAAGTCACACAAACGTTTCAGAACGAGTGACAATCAGTAACTGATATTTCCAGGTTGGTTTGCATGCGGGAGGTACCACGTAATCGAGAAGCGTCGGTTGTTTCGGAAGTTAGTACTGCATAGAAGCAGTCTATAGTCAGCAACTAACTGCAGCAGGTCTGTTCTGTGTGTTGTTGCTCTGTGTCCCAGACTTAGTCCAAGATTGCTACCTAATTGAGTCTCGGTGGCAAATGGTCAACGTGCTAACACATTCATAGGCCCAGCAACAATATCTGAGTTCTTAGCCGACTGAAAAACTATGTCCAATGCATCACGGATGCTGTTTTTGTGAAAACTAGACCCACGTGCTTTTGATCGTAAGCAGACAGATAAACAGACAGCCTTTAAAGGACGCCCTTACCGATGTTGACAAATGAACTGCACAGAGGCGGTCATCTACGGAAAACCATTCAAGTAGAGACCACTAGACTCGGTTGATTAAAGCAACAACAACCCCAGGGAAACCAGCTTCTGGATCAACAGATATCCCATCCAGAAGAGAGCGGAAACGAATAGGGAGGTCTATCCTGTGACAGTAACTGAGCATTTAATCCTTGTTTCAGGGAAATAGCACATAACAATAGAAAACAAGTCCGGCCTGCGTGCACGAGTAACCTGTCCTTTAGCTCGTTTCAGAGTGTGAACGCCAGTTTTTGCCTGATTAAATGAGCATCGGGATTTGAATAATGGTTTCAAATTGTCTGCGATCGTTCCGGCCGAGTTAAGCATAGGATATTTCGGTTAGTGGTTATGGGCAGTAAAATGATCTCTTTGTTCTTGCGCACGGGCTTAAGAAGGTGCATCGGGGTGACATAGGGCTGATACAGGGAGAAAAAATGAAAATGTGAAAGCGAATGAAGGGGGCATCACTAGTTTCTTTTTTTCGCTTATTCGCCCTATTGTATGCGGCAAGGAAGGCGACCCGACTGATGGAACCATACGGTGGCCGATGTGGCATGAGATCATTTTCAAGCACGCAGGCCGAGAGGGCCACTACGCTCCACAACCAAAGTCTTTGGCTCTGTAGGCTAAATGCTATGTAGCGAAGCTTGGCCGTCAGAGCAGCCTGAATTTTTAAGGAGCAAGTTATCACACTTTCTAACTGACCAGTTTTTTTCAAATTGCTCTATACTCTGTATCAATGGAAATGGAGAGTGATGTAAATCAATATAAATGATGTAATGATGATAATGTAAATTTACCTCATTCATTTTTGACGATCCCAAGTCAAAAACAACAATTTTATTCTCATCGTAATTGTTTTCTGGCTCGGTCAGATCTGTTGCTCCAGTGTATGTCTCTCACACACCACGAAGACTGATAAAACTCCACGAATTACCCTGCTGTCTACTTGCCTACGGGTTTTCAAAAGTCTTACAACCAGTAACTCATTGGGTACACTCACCTTGACCATCTCAGTGTCGCCTGATGTCACAGCTGCATGTAAGGGTGTTTCTCCCTCACAGTCTACCAGGTCGATCATGCACTGCTCGGTTTCTAATTTCTGTCTGCTGTATCGCCTTAGGGTCTGAGCAAGGTGTAACAATTTTTTTTCGGCTGCTGACTTCCGCCTTTTGCGATCGAAGGAGTTGGCTCCCTTCCCAGTTGATACTGCGCCAGAGGAACCTCGTAATTTCTCCACTTCCAATGACCTGCGAGATACGGTGGGTGTCAGGGCCGTAACTTGGGTTCGAGTTTCTCTTTGTTCAAGTCTGGCTGCATGGAAACTTTCTTCGTGAGCAAACAGTGCTCTCACACAATTAGGACTAATATTTGCGATGGCCACATGGATGGGATAAGTACACTCGAAATCGCGGCTGTAAATATCCGCACCGTTTTCAAGCTGTATTGGAACAAGCAAAAATGAAAAATAACATTAATGGAATATCTTAGTTTACGTAAATGCTGTACAAAATTTCCAATACTTTTCGATCGCCTTTGTTATTTTGATTCCGATTCTGAGATTTGTGGCTCAGAAATTATTCAGTTACATTCAAGAGACCGAAATTTTGACCCTGCTCTTGACAACGTTGCTGTCCGGATGAGAAGGCCAGTGATATCTCCAGTAGGAATTTGGGAGGCGGTTTCCGAAACCTCAGTAAGTTCTCTGAGTTTGTTTATTATGAAATTCGTTATCTTAATTCTTAGCTGGTGTTTTCTGTGACTGATATATTGGAAGTTTTCAACTGTACTGCTGTTTGTTATCGTAGAGCCTCCTTAGCCACTTCAGAAAACTTAATAAATTTCTATTACCACTTCTTATAAAACGTCTTACAGTTCCGCCTTCCTATTTTAGAAGTTGGTACCAAGACTCGTTAGGAGCAAGTACAAGCATGACAGAATTACTACTCTGTTTTTATAGATTTCACAACGAATAATTCTAGGATACAAACGAATTTCTCATTTTGACGAATGCCTTTTTCGGATGATGACTTATCGACCACAAAATAACCGATGAGTTGGGAGGTGCAGATATGTATGCCTTTACCATGGATTTCCTGTTTAATGTAGGAGGAAACTGTGAAGAACGAGGGATAAGCGAAAATACTAGTGAATTTATAACTGTAACTATTATCATAACTTCACCTGATCGGTCCATAAGTGCAAAAAGAAACGAAACAAGGTTGTGATGACCATGTCTTCCTGATCAAGCTAGCCTGCGTTTACGAAGTTAAAAACATTTCGTTTCTGACACGTAATTTACTACTACCTTAGCGCCACTTTTGGCCCGAGTAAAAATTTGTCCTGCTTGTTCCCTTACATTGAACTTCTTGTACATGCAGATAAACAGGATTAGTTGTTTGTCTCCAACTTTTACAACTGTACGGCTGGTATGTAGTATTTGTCATGAATTTCCGGAAATTACCACACAGTTATGGTATCGTGTCTTTTCAATAGCCACGTTTTCCGAAAATCAATGGTTGGTTGTTCCCTTCGGTAGAGTTTGCAGTTGTTTGCACGTTGTTCCAGTTGTCAGGAGCCTCTCCAGAAGACAACTCACGGCAGTGGAAGAAAACGTGCTTATTAAAGGGCTTAATTTCAATTTCAAGGATGCTAGTGATTTAGAATATATGGCCACTCTCGAAGCGGCCTTCAAATCCAGCGACCTCAATGAAGAAACCCAACAAGCGATACGTCAAACCATTGTACCAGCTATCACGCGAAACAAAACACACAACGCTTTACTCACTAAAGAAAAAAGAGCAGTAAACAGCCTCAAAGCGGATGGAACCATCGTCATTTTGCCAGGTGACAAAGGAATAAGAACACAGATGGGTTGACGAACATGTTTTCGGCAAGGTCTTTTCAAGTCATACAAGTGCAAAGTTTAAGAGGGCGGTATTTAACATATTTGAATGAGTATGGTGTAAATGGCCAGGGAATCGAGTGAGATGACATTGGCTACCTATCAAAGAACCATTAGTTCAGGTCGCCAATAGGATGACTTGAGCTAGTCAGCTCGGGGGGTGTTGTAGTTGTGTGTTCAGCACACGATGCATGTGTGGGGGGAGGTGAGTTGGACCATGGTAAGTACAACACACGAACAAAGCGTTTTTGCCGACAAAGGATCGGGTCGCGTTGTCGTATGGCGATAGCTTCAGCCACTGCTATTGTGCGCTGCTGTACTGAACTGGGTTGGTTAGCCGGCGCCTTGTAAACAACGCGGAAACTTTGGCTGGGTATCACGTTGTGTGCAGAGTCAGCTAAATGTTGTACTGCGGAGCTGGTTATCGTCCTAGCTGAATACATCGACAAAGCTAACGCTCTACTCAATGACACAACCACATACCGCCGTCTGCAGAACGACCAAACCGCGAAAATTACGAACAAGATGAACAAAACCCTGAAGAAACTCAAAGATCTTCACAAAATTACAGAGAAAGAATACTGGAGAATGAAGGCTCGTTACTCAGAAGTTGCCCGATTCTACGGACTTCCAAAGGTTCACAAAGAAATGGTACCATTACGCCCAATTGTCTCACTACCAGGAACTCCCACGTACAACATTTCAAGAGAATTATGGAAGCGGCTGAAATATCTAACCAATGGGTCCCAATATTCGATCAACAATGCGGGACAGTTTTTGGAGAAACTTAAAAACGTGAGAATCGAAGAAGACGAAATAATGGTGTCCTTTGA